CCATGAGTCTGAGAACAAGCTACAGCGTGCGTTCCTCCACCTCCCAGGTGCCAGTGTCCCAGGTGTCTATCAAGCGCACCACCAATGTGCCGACTTACAGGGCTGCGAGCATCTATGGCGGCGCTGGAGGCCAAGGAACCCGCATCTCCTCTGCCTCCTACTCAGGAGTCCGCAGTGGACTGGGAGTTCCCTCGATGTCCAGCTCCATCCAAGTGAGTGCAAGTGGTAGCACAGGCGAGATCATGGGCAATGAGAAGATGGCCATGCAGAACCTGAACGACCGTCTGGCCTCCTATCTGGAGAAAGTGAGGATCCTGGAGCAGGCCAACAGCAAGCTGGAGCTGAAGATCCGGGAGGCCCTAGAGAAGAGAGGTCCTGATGTCCACGACTACAGCCGCTTCCAGCCAATCGTTGATGAGCTGCGCAAGAAGGTGAGTGGGAAACGCCAAGAGAAGCTTTGGCCTCTATAAAGAACTTAATGTGACAGTCCAATTGTGCTGGGTTGTGTTTATTAACAGTCTAGGGGATGTTTATTGGGCTTCAAGACATAGAGTAACAAAACAAAAGCATTTCATTGTCGTTTAATGTTGGCTCGATTTAAAAGGGTTGAGTGAGAGTTTACTGATGGTCAGCACTGATTGGCAAACAACCAAAAAAAAAAAAAAAACTATGGGTGAAACTGAAAAGAGGGGAAGGCATGGGGGAGGGGGTGGTTTCTCTCTACGGGACGGCTGTTGTAAATTCTGCTTACAGCCGGTTTTCCGGTGAGTAAGCATCTCCGTCCTGTGTTTATCATTGTCTTTTTACACATACAGATGTTTGTTTGTTCCCTGAGGATGGATTAGTTTGGAAACTGAGATGTTTTAGCGTCTGTGTGTGTCATCAGGGAAATGGAAAAGCTGAGGGAGTTCAGACAGGACAAAATGCGACCAGATGTGAGACTTTCCTGAAAACGCAGTCTGAGCTCTCTTAGAGAAATTACAAACACAGCCAGCTTCTTTCATGTACTAAATGAGTGCTAATCTTGAAAGGTTTGAGTTCATAAAGCAGATACTGCTAATGATAAAATACCCATTAGGGTCAGTTTCACACCTTGAAGCTGACTTTTAAAGCTAATATGTCACTGATAAGTAGACGCTGTTATCAGAATGATTGATTTTTCATTCTTTAGAGACTATGTAGCAAGTTATGAGTAGATTAAATTAAAATAATTAATTTCTCATTTCTCAGGCATTCTCACTGCAACTAAACTAAATAGGAGTTTTAATAGGAGATTATCCTGATGAAAAGATAAGTGAAATTTGGCACTGAAACCGTATTTCAATTAAAAAAGTTTGAAAAATTTTGAAAAATTATTTAAATATATATTATTATTATATTCATTGATATTATTATATTTATTGATATTATGCTATATATTTTTATTATGTATATTATTATTATTATTCTTATATTAGTTATATATATATATATATATATATAATTATTATTACACATTATAGTATATTATTATTAGTATATATAATAATAATAATAATTATTATTATTATTGTTATTAATATTGTATTATATTATATTATTTGTATTTATTTATTTAGAGAAAAAAGGGGGAAAAAAACATTTACTCAAACTAAAGCATACTAAGGACAACAGTTAGTATGATAAACGGTCAACACCCATTAGTGTATGGAAAAATGTGTTGAGCTCACTAGCAGCCATATGTCTCCGCCCTATTCCATGATGCCAGGATATGCTGGCTTACAATGATGGAAAGCATTTACAAAACAAAGTACATCAGCTGACAAAAAACAGGAACTCCAACTCCACCCCTGTTTCTCCCATCACACAATTAAATTTACAACTATCACACAGACACCAGCCACTCCAACTGTTGGTTAATGATTATCCCACAAACTGTGAAATGGACTTTGTCCTTCAGTAGCTCTTATCTAAGCAAACCAAGAATGATGAAGCTCCAGTTAAAAAATATTTGGTCAGTGATAGTCATTCATTAAAAGATGCAAATTTGCCAGAGAGTTCAAGTCAGGTGAGGTTTGTGTGTCATAGCTGCACGATGGTGATGTCCCATCTCTTTGGAGCAAGATTTCTGACTGACTCCAATGATTTATTTTTTGGCTCTAGATCTTTGATGCCACCACAAACAATGCTCGTCTAGTGCTCCAGATTGACAACGCCCGCCTGGCAGCTGATGACTTCAGAGTCAAGTGAGTAGCAACAAACAAATCATTTTGACCTCATGGGAAGCTCTTAAAATCAACAGAGACCCATTGACCTTTGTTGTGCCTGCAGGTATGAATCTGAGCTGTCCATCCGCCAAGGTGTGGAGGCCGACATCACCGGCCTAAGAAAGGTCATCGATGACACCAACCTGAACCGCATGAACCTTGAGAGCGAGATCGAGGCCCTCAAAGAAGAGCTCATCTTCCTTAAGAAGAACCATGACAATGTGAGTACACATCTGGCACATCTGGAAACATTTGTCCACCTCGTAATTCGTTAAAGGCGTTGCTTTAAGACATATTTTACGGCTTCTCCACCCAACAGGAGGTAATGGAGCTTCGTAACCAAATCTCCCAGTCAGGAGTGCAGGTGGATGTTGATGCTCCTAAGGGACAAGACCTTTCCCAGATCATGGAGGAGATCAGAGCCAAGTACGAGAAGATGGCCCTGAAGAACCAGGAGGAGCTGAAGGCCTGGCATGAATCTCAGGTATATCCTAAAAGACAACCCTTCATTTCCAATGAACTCTAACATGTTGAAGCTTTGGCTAATGTGAAATTAAATGTTCTCTCTAGATCACAGAGGTTCAGGTACAAGTCACGCAGAACACAGAGGCCCTCCAGGGTGCCCGTTCAGAGGTTAACGAACTTCGCAGACAAATTCAGACATTGGAGATCGAGCTGGAATCACAGAAGAACCTGGTGAGTTTGCTTTCTTGTACTCATCGTAGACATTCGGAATTGAAAATTCAATCCTTAACTCTTGGGTTATGATTGTTGCGATTTTCAGAAAGGGTCACTGGAGGGAACTCTGCGGGACACAGAAATGCGATACAACATGGAGATCGAGAATCTCAACACTATCATTCTGCAGCTGGAGGCTGAGCTCACACAACTGCGCGGTAACATCCAGCATCAGACGCAGGAGTACGAGGCTCTGCTGAACATAAAGATGAAGCTGGAGGCAGAAATCGCCACCTACAGGAGGCTACTGGATGGTGGAGACTTCAAGTAAGTTTACCTCTGAAGAAGAAAGTGCATGCACATTTGAGTAGATTTATTTTGTATGGTTTGTAACAAATATCCTCTCTCCTGCAGACTCCAGGATGCTCTTGAAGAGCAGAAGAAGGTCAAAGTGATGACGGTCACGCAGACGCTGGTGGATGGAAAGGTTGTGTCCTCAAGCACAGAAACCAAGGAGAGGAAACTTTAAACATCCAATTTCAGATGATGAGCCGCAACACATCAGAAAAACCTCATGGGCTATTGATAAAACGATCTTACAACTTAACACATTAGATACTGTGTCTATTTATTCCAAAGTGCCTTATTGTAAGCATCTCAAAGCACATGTTGTGTGCAATGAGATTTAGCCAGTACATTTCAACATTAATTAAAAAAAACTTACATTTTAATAACTACATCCAAAAAAGACCAAAGGTCACAGAACACTACGAAAACCTTTTAGATATTTTTGTAATGACAGTAAATGTTTACGATCACCAATTGTTCCATTTTGTTCTATGTTGTGTTGTTGTCATGATGTCTAGTCTTTTCCAATAAAAGACACTTTTAACAAATCTTTGCATTCTGCTTCTATTATTTAAGGTGTATGACAATATTCTGAGCCTGATCAAAGACCATTTTAGGTCTCCTCTGTCATCGTTCTTTGCATCCAAAGCAGGTGAAAAGCAAAAGTAACATGTTTAAACTGAGATAAAAATTTTTAGAATTGGTTGTTTTCTAAGGATTATATAAAAACTGGACAACAAACTAAGGTAACACTTTATTTTGATGGTTTGTTTGATGAATTTAAGTTACATTGCATCTACATAGCAACTTATTCTCATTAGATTTTAAGTAGAATGTTAGATTGGGGTTGGGGTTAGAGTCAGTGTAATTTCACATGTTCTTGCTGAATTTCTTATAGTCAGTTAAATGTCTGTTGAAGGAGCAGTATCAACAGATGTTAAGCAGACAGTCAACTAATACTCAAATGGACCATCAAATAAAGTGTTACCCAAACTAAATGCTGCTTGTTTTAACCAAAAAAAGATAGAAAAAAGGAAAGAAATACAGCCACATTTTACAGTTAACTAATAAATAAGATGTTTAGAAAGCAGGCTTCTAACATTTTTGTCAGCTACTATGATTTAAGAGTGATTCACAGCTATTGTGAAGAAAAAAAAATGTTTTGACTTTGATAATTCACTGGTAAGGATATCCTTCAATAGGCTATGAACAGAATAAGTTGAAACATGTGGTAAATCTTCTGACTTAAGACTTTCCCTCATCAAAATACATTTTAAAAGACCCAAAATTGTGCCTCAAAAATGACATCAAGTTAGTCGTTAAAGGGTAAAGTTCAGCCCAAACATCCATTTAATTCCAAACATGTACAAAGGTTTTTCATGGAAAGACAAACGAAGATACCTCCTTTGAAAGAATGTTTCACCTGTAACTGTCCACACAATGAATGTCAATGGGTTACTAAAACCCTAGACTAACCTAATTTTAACTGTACAGAAGCAAAAAAAAAAACTAATTTCAAAGTACCAAACTAGTTCCAAAGAAGAAGACATTCATATAGTTCTGAAAAGACATAAAAGTGGTGATCATAAATAATGAAGTGTCAATTTAAGTAGTAATTTAATTCCGGAACAAACCTATGTTTCATTACATGGTTAATACTACCATAACACCAAGCAGCGGGTGGGGTGGAAGTCCATAGTCTAAAGATAACAGAAATGTGTCTACTATATGTGAACCTTAAAACTATAAAAATCTCACATCTCTCAGAACCAGCGATTGCATCTGATCTCCTTTCCATTGAAAATCCATCCTTAGCAAAAATGCAAAGCTTTAGTGCCAACAAAAGAACATACAGAATGTCTTCAGAGGATCTCGGTGGGCTTCGACCAACATTTTACTCATGGAGAAGTGCTGGAAATAGGGGCTCCTTTTCCAAAGATATCTTTGGATCTACCAATGTACAAACGGGGGTTGTTGGAAACGTTGGAAATGAAAAGGTAACCATGCAAATTCTAAATGAGCGCCTTGCTTCCTACCTGGAGAAAGTTAGGATTTTGGAGAAGGCCAATGGTGACCTAGAAGTGAAAATCCGCCAGGTTATGGAGAAAAAAGGTCCAGACACAACAGACTACAGTCACTTCCAAGTCACTCTTGATAAACTACGCAAAGAGGTAAATTTATAATCTAACAATTTTGTCGCAATTAGGCATAATTATTATTTTTTCATACATTCTCCAAAGACATTTTAGTTTCTTTGAAATTCAATGGAAATTTTATAGACCAATGGCATCCAACTTCCATTTTAGGAGTGTTTTATACATCTATTTCATTTTTACTACTATAAAATGTATAATGTATGGTTGGTGTAATGCAAGGGCTGCAGGCTCAGTTCGAAGTAATGACGACTTAAAATTTGGACTTTGATTGAGCCCTTGAGTAAGGCATACAATTCTTGAAAACCAGCTTCTCAAAAGGGACCTCAGATTATGGCAATAGGCTAACTGACAATATAACTGACAAGAGGCTAACTGACAATATATAACTGATAATAGGCTGTATTCTACTTGTCCACTTAGATCTTGGAGATGATTATGAGAAATGTAAATGTTAATCTTCAAATTGACAATGCCAAGTTGGCTGCTGAAGACTTCAAGATCAAGTACGTAATTACAAACACATTAAAACTAAGCTCTGTTTTTTTTTTGGGGGGGGGGGGGGGGGGGGTTATTGCTTTTCTGTTATTTAATTGATGGAGTTATATATATTTTAATTGTTGGAGTATTATATTTTTTATTTAATAAATGCATAGTCTTAACAATATAATTGTGTAGCAGATATGAACATGGGAACATACCGATAAATCATGTTGCGTCTAAATTTGTCTGATGAAACACAAAATTAAGAATGTCCCTCACCTTAATGTAATCCCATTAACAAAATATGTTTTTTTTTAAAATATGTAGGTTTGAAAATGAATTTCAGCAAAGACAGTGTGTTGAGGCAGACATAAATGCACTGAGAAAAATGCTGGATGACACCAATGTGGCACGACTCCATCTGGAAAATGATGTTGAAGGATTAAAGGTAGAGCTCATCGAGATCAAGAAACAGCATCAACTGGTAAATACAACGATTATATAATATAGAAATATTGAATTTGCAGTCTGCTTACTGGCTCAGAAGGTGTAACAAACATATACATATAAAGGGGCCTAAGATATAACCCTGTGGAACATCAAATCACCTATTTTTCAGGAATTGTCAGCACTAAATGGTCAAATTACCCAATCAGGAGTGCAAGTGGACATAAATGCCCCTAAGGGACAGGACCTGGCTAAGATAATGGAGGAGATGAGAGCAAACTATGAAAAGATTGTGCTGAAAAACCAAGAAGAGCTCAAAGCCTGGCATGAATCAAAAGTGGGGCATCATTTCTCAATGCAAAGGTATTCATGTTTTAAAGAGAAATATTTAAATGTAATACACATTTATTTTGTATACGTAGATATCTGTGGTGCAGGTTCAAGTGACAGAAAACACTGCAGCATTGAAGGAGGCCAGCACACAACTCAGCGTGAGCCGCAGGCGGATGCAGACTTTAGAAACTGACCTGCAGACTCTGACTGGAAGTGTAAGAGATTCTGAAACACCTCGATGGAGCTGCCTAAGTTTAAACATACTATTTACGCTCATGTTTTTTTGGCCTTTACTTGTAGAGAGCATCTCTGGAAGAAGCCCTTAATGAAACAAAGTTGAGATATGGCATGCAGGTGGAGCAATTCAATAACATCATTTTGTTGCGAGAATCTGAGCTTAAACAGCTGCGTGATGACATACAGAGGCAGTCATTAGACTATCAGGTCTTATTTAACATCAAGATGGAACTGGAAGCTGAGATAGCCACCTACAAGAGACTTCTGGATGGAGAAGAAACGTGAGCATTGAACTTTTTCAATCATAAATTGTAATCATTTATATTACTCACAGAAACTTTCCTTATCCTGTTAATGAAATATTTTTACAGACTCCAGAACAGGTCCGTGTCGGAGACTGTCACCCGGACGACGATGGAAACGAAAATATTGTCCTGAAAAATTGATTTGATGAAAAATTTTTGGTGTTATCAAAGATAACACAAAAGAAATATCTCAGTTGAAATGTACACTGTAAAAAAAGCAGTTATTTTAATTTTTTTTGGCAGCTGGGGTGCCAAAAAAAAGTAAAATAATGACCATTAAATTACAGAAATTTACTGTAAAATAAGACGTTAAATTACAGAAGTTTACAGAAAATCTTTATTTAAGGAAATAAAAAAAGAGTACACTGTACAACCATTGTCAAATACAACAAATGTTCTGAATCAATTACAATAAAACAATCTGTAGCAGGTTGCACATAAGAAGCGCTGCTCGGCGCCGCGACAGTGCGCATATGACAATTTAAAGTATCACACACCAGATGCACTCATTCGCATAATATTTAACATGAAACTAATCAGATGGCACTCTGTGGCGCAGCGAAAATATGAACTGATTCCTGAGTCTTGGCTGGGCACCGCCGATAGCCGCCATCTTGCGGCGCCGGTGTGTGTACCTTGATAGAAACCTATGTTTAGAATTCTAAAATGCATGGCGCTGCGTAGCGTTGCGCGGCACATCGTCGAGCAGCGCTTCTGGTGTGCAACCTGCTTTTGAGTGCTATTTCCATTTAATCCGATTTTGAAAACGCTGGAAAGCCAAACCTTTCTGTCATACCATCAATCTCAATGATTATCCTAAAGGTTTAACAAACTTCATAACTGGCAAAGAAAACAGTAAATAGTGCCCATTTCATTCTTGTTTTACAAAAACAACAGTTATTCTTAATAACTGAAAGAAATCTTTTTTTGTACTTCAACCTAAAGACAATAAATACTTAAACTGATCCCTTGTCCTTACATGTTTGATGTCGATTATGCTATTCAAGAAAGGTGATAAAATAAATGACTCAGTACCCTTATCTAAAGTTAATCTTTTTTGAAAACTGAAAGCTGTCAAATGTTCATTCCTAGAAACTGTCACCATTTTGCCCCCAAGGCTTGGTGGGTCAGATTTCCATGGAGGAGTTTTAGAACAAACACTGGAAAACAACTGTGAAGTGTTCAGCATTTTTCGGCCTGATGTCTGTTATCTAATACTTACTCACTCACTTACTCCCAGGGCCATTTATATTGAAGTAGAAATTTAGCTCAACTCCCAACCTGGAGGAACAGAACATACACACATACAGTACTGACAATTTAGCTTAGACTCGAGCACCAGTGCACCAGGAAATCCATGTGAACATGGGAAGAACTCTATACAGACAGCGCTACCCATTGCGCCACCATGACACCCCCATTATCTAATAGCAATCTTAATCCTAAAAAGTCTTCCCAGACTGACTGAAACTCAACTTCAGCTTCTGTATGGTACTAAAATGGCATAACCAACACAATGTGGTACTGCAGCCACTAAGTTGCATTTACTGGGAAATCCCATCAGATAAAAAATAATCTTGTGTTTTCTTATTTTTAAGCTTCACTTCTTTAGCAAGATCACATTTACACAAACCTATGAAGGCAAACCCCATGAACTGTCTGGCAAACGAAACACCAAATGGCACTGAACAGTCACTAAGTATAGAATGTTCCACCGAGGGCCTGTAAAAGCGGGAATTTGCGGCTAACTGTGAAGCACTGTTTCCACTCAAATCCTCCTTCGTCACGGCTAGAGGAGCCTATTCAGAGACGGTTGGTTTGCAGATGACGATGTCAACGCAGACATTTGTGGATGGAAAACTGGAGCTGGAGTGCAAAACGATCTGTGCAGGCCAAAATAAGCTAATTCATTTGTAAGAGCTTGAGATATAAAAGAGTTTCTCCCAATATGAACAGGTATAAAAATCAAAAATAGAAGAGATGTCTAGGTCGTTTTCAAATCAAATTCTAGAGGTCTATAAATAGTGTACAAAGTCTAAAGTAATTCCACTTTCATCCATTGATGTCTTTCTTTACAGTGACTTATTGAATTGGGTGAGAGACAACGACTTGGTAAGGTCACATGCTACGACAAGAATTACACTTCTGTGCAGCCCACTCAGCTCATTTTTTCCCCCTGTCGAGACAATTACACAAAACGCTTTTGTTAACACTGTATTTGAGCAAAACAGCAATTGAGCAACACTGTACATTAAAGCCAGTATAGTGACAGTACAGACTAACTTGGCACCAAATCTGTTGGTGTTTGCTTAGAATGGTGCATTTTTTCCTTTTGCTTTAGTTAAACATTTTAATTGGACTTCCACCGTTTTTCCATAATTCTGGGAAGCCTCTGCATTCCTACTGAACAGTGACTCACCACTGCACTTCAATATTTGTTTTTTATGCTTCACAGGGCAGTGGGAATGCACGTAAATACCCTTGTATGGGTATTTTCAATTACCTTTATGCCCCCATTAAAATTTCACTGCATAAATGATCTTCTAGAGACTTGTGCTACATATTAACAGGACGTTTACTTTTTATAAAGGAATGACCAGTAGTGTTTGTACATGCAAAATGTATGCAAAAACAGCCCCAATGCTAGGATGTCTTCGCACATACTTTGTGGCTGCTTATTGTTAAAGGGACAGTGGTTCCAAACCTTTATGCCTTTCTTCTGCTGAATACAAAAGAATACATTTTAAAGATATTAGAAACTGAAAACCGTTGACTGCCATAGTAGGAAACACAAACATTATGGGAATCAATTCTTCAACATTATTCATTCATTCATTTTCTTTTCGGTTCAGTCCCTTTATTGATCTGAGGTTGCCACAGTGGAATGAACCGCCAACTTATCCAGCATAAATTTCACGCAGCGGATGCACTTCCAGCTGCAACCTACCACTGGAAAACATCCATACACACTCGTTTACACACTTACACTACGGGCAATTTAGCTTGCCCAATGCACCTATACCACATGTTTTTGGACTGTGGGGTAAACCGAAGCACCCGGAGGAAACCCACATGAACACAGGGTGAAAATGCAAACCCCATACAAAAATGCCCAAGGACTCAGCCGGGGGTTGAACCAGCAACCTTCTTGCTGTGAGGCGATTGTGCTACCCACTGCACCACCGTGTTGCCCCTCAACATTATTCAAAATATTTATATTTAGTGTTGAGCAGAAGAAAGAAACTCAAACAGGTTGTAATTTTGGGGTACACAATAACTTTAGTTATGTTTTACGCAGCAGATGGCCTTCCAGACACAATTGGGAAACACCCACACACTCTCACATTCACACATGCACTCATATGCTATGGCCAATTTTGTTTACCCAATTTACTTATAGCGCATGTCTTTGGACTATGGGGAAACCGGAACACCAATAGGAAACCAACACAAACACGGGGAGAACATGCAAACTCAACACAGAAATCAGCGACCTTCTTGCTGTGAGACAACAGTGCTAATCACTGAGCCACCATGCCGCCCTATAGGTGGATTACTTTCATATATTAGAGAACCTTCCAGTCCCTAACATGTCTGTGGTCCTTCGTTCAGGAATTTTTCACCCATTTTGTCAACAAAGACTCATTGTGAAAACATACCCCCTTATACATTACTGGAGAGCGAGAATTATGTAGCCAGAGCTACTGAACGTATGGCTGCATTTTGTCTTTAAAACAAACGTTACGTGCTGTATGATGCCACAGACTGCTTCTGTTTCTTTTTGCGCTACCAGCTACCTCCATGTGGACTGCTTTTCCGCTGTTATCAGTTTGCCCAGTAGCTTGCCATGTACGTCGGCAATCCTGAGACACAGAGAGGAACTGACCACTACAACGTTCAAGTTTAGCAAGGAACAGTTTTAGAAAGCAGATAAAACAAAACAAAAGGCAAAAAAAAAATAAGTAAATAACAGGGTGAGAATGTGGTAAAATCTTAACACGTGGTAAAATCAGGCTGCAGCGAGGGCTTTTCTTTTTCTGGATGGCTTTTGAAAACAATATCGGTTAGGTTTAGGGAAGGGGCTGATTGGGTCAATCGTTGCTTTTAAAAACACTACTGGTTGGGTTTAGGGAAGGGCCCAGGTGAGGGTAATGATCGTTTGGTCAGTCAGTCAATCAGTCAGTCAGTCGACTAGGGTTGTAACAATATATCGGTATGACGGTCTACCACGATTTGAACGTGCACGATTATCATACCATGAACAATTGCATATCAACGGTTTTAACCCTTAAAGACCGAGACAGTCGACTATTAAACACAAAATGGTCATCCCAGGCATGGTAGTAGAATAACATTGCAAATTAACATGAAAAGTTGTGAAAATAATCTCATAATGAACCTGCAATGAAGACAGTAGGTACACAGAAAACAATGTACAGTACAGTTTCATCCTATTCGGAAGCATAGAGAAGTGAATTAAACGAATACGTTTCGTGTGGATGGCCACACCAACTGTCAAGCCCCTGTCAATCACTGGTACTGACACTTATGTTATTGCTGAACAAATTACTGGAAACTTGAGAACTCAAGACCGAAGAACTAATCCTTTCTGTTGTTGAACAAACCCAGCCAGCCTAACTTTAGTTTATGGAGATGTGACTTGGCAAAATTACCAGTGAACTACCTGAGTACACAGCTAACTTAAACCACATGACCCAGATAACCAATGAATTCAACTTTACTGTCTCATTACATTATAAATTATTTTTACATGTCCAGTTATTCTCACATCCTGAATATATCAATCGTATGCATATTGCAGACGTTCATGTCTGCTTCTGTCTAAAATCAGTGTCATTTTTTCAGAAATCATTCGCTACTTAGGGCAACGATTGAGAGTGCCATGACTGATACTAAAAGCTTGTCAGAGTAAGAAATGTGGGGATGGGGTTGAGAAAGGTCAATTTACTTATAGTACTTAAAAAAACAAAAAAGAATTTAGGATGCAGCGACAACCGTGTTATATTCAGCTTAAATATGTCACTCAAATGTTCTTAAATAGTCTGCTATTTGGACTTCCGTACTTTTACACAACTACTACTTTCAAAAGTACTACTTCCTGAGTACTTTTTACCTACAAAAAACCCTGTTGAAAATAATGAAACACCAGGAGAGAGACAGCGTTCCAAGCATATAAACAATAGAGAGAGAGAGAGAGAGAGAGAGAGAAAGAAAGAGAGAGAGACTCCACACTGCTCTGCTGGAGTTGTGGAGGTTGAGCTGCATTTCCTCACTTACTGCAGCAAATATCAGAGCATTAGAGAAGCTTACTTCACACAAATGTCTCTGATTCTACCACAATTCCAGCACACCACAAATACGGAGAAACTCCATTATATTTTGGGAGAAAATGAAAAGTGTCTCCACCTAGCAGCACAGTACGTGTCCTCATGCCACCATATGAGAGAAAAAGGCTGAACCCCCTTATCCCTTATTAAAGCTCTCTGTCCTTACCATTTATTATTATTATATACTTTTGTTAATCTTTTTTTTTATTAACTTGTTTATTGTGACAACATATATGTATAATATAACGATATGTATATGTGTTTGTTTATTATTACTTATATTTCTTTTATCTATATGAATGTTCTGTATTTTGTTATTGCTTTGGCAACATTGTGATTTGTTTTACAGTCATGCCAATAAAGCTCTTTGAATTTGAATTTGAGAGAGAGAGAGAGAGAGAGAGAGAGAGAGAGAGAGAGAGAGAGAGAGAGAGGGATTATCTTTTGTATCCTACATAACTCCCATTCTTCAAGTCTGGTCTCCTGGATGGGAGATTACCTCCAGATATCCCTCACAGGTGCAGCTTACATAAAACCTGAGCCACGCTCCCCCTTCCTGCTTGTGCTCTGAACATAGGGGTGGAGATCATTAGGGACTTCATGATCCGATCTGATTC